AGCCGTGTTACAATAATTAACGTCGCAGAAGGTACATAACTGAGTTACTTTAGAAATTAAGTGGGGTAATATGGAGTACTGCTGGTAAAGTTGGAATACCGACTCGTGGAAATGCCATACGTATGTTACCACTTGTGGAAAATCATTAAACTACATGGCACTGGCTTCCAAACAATGAGATATTCGCCATTTTTTTCTCAAGACGGACCTCGTTTTGTGCAACTGTTGGAAAACACATTTTATCAAACGATGCACAAATGTCACAGTTATTCCCAATGGAAAACATTTTTAATTCAACTGTTTTAAGATTCAAACCGCAGCTTTAAAAATTATCCCATAGCCAAGAATGGAATACAAGTAGTACCAACTTTTGAACGCGTACACTATTTGAGTCAATGCGAGTTCTTATTAAAATGTAATTTAGAAGGCTATGGTAGACCAACATATTATTATATGTTCTATTTTAATAAGCATAACATTCATATTAATGCTCCACTGCAGTATTATCTGCTCAAAACCCGTATTTAGTGAATTTAAGCGTACTCAGTATAATCTAGACAAACGATATTATTGTTTAGTAAAACAACAGTACAGAGCCACCATCGGTCCTAGGCTCAGCAATAATATTTTTATACAAATCCGTAACCATAAAGGTAGGATTACACATTAACGATCGGTTAAATTAAATTGGGCTTCCTTATTCCCGCTGTAACAATTTTAATTGGGGCAAAGTAAACTGAGGTTAAAGATTAAGTAACTGATTACTAAGCCCGAAACATTAACAAATGTTTCTTATAACAGCGTAAGCACGGCTGTCTGACAAGATTAGAACGTTACAGAATTACAGTGCAACTGTTCCATTCGCGGGATTGTGTCTTTCCGCTTCTGTTGTGTACACGACTACTTTATACACTTTTATACCTAGTCAAATGTTATGACATCGCAAACACGTGTAATGAATGCTACACCGCCAATATGTCTTTCATAAATCAACTATAAAAATACTGCATTTACCACAACGACTCATAGAGATTAGTTCGCGAACACCACTGAGAATGGCAAATGTTTCTGGGGGATTTGCCAACACAAACTAGATGGCAAATGTTTCTGGGGGATTTGCCATCACAAACTCTGTGCGACGGAGGGCTATTTTTTTGAATAAATATCAAGAAAAATCAAAAATAGATGTATACATCTTTCATTATAGAACGTGTCTATAGGAAGAATGTTATTTTTTGTAGCATGTTACCGTTCAATGTTTGGGGTACGACTGGCTTATAAAAAAAATATTTTCAAGAAATAAAACATTTATAGAATATCATTAAAAATTCTGTATATTACATAAAGTACCACGGGTGATGGACGTCGATAAATTTCTACCAGACAACACGGTGCTAAAATCCAGAAGACAGCCATTTTGTATTCACCGCCGTGAAAACCTCAAATCCTGATAGACAATAACGAAATAAATAAAACACGGAAGGGAGACCAAAGAGTAAGTTAATGAAAGTTGGAGAAAGATATGAAGAAAAACAACAAATGAAAGATGTAAGGAATGAAATGCGTAATTCCTGAGGTTTATTGAAATGCTTTGAATTCTCTAACTAAATGACAGAGGCACGTGAACGAAGTTTCCAGCGGTATGAATAATAAAAGTACATCACAGGCACGGGGAAAGCCTCAGGGGTTTGGGGGAACACGGGAATTTTAATAGAGTTCAGTAAAGGAACAAACATCGATTTACACATAATATCCATATTCTGCAGTAATCTCGAGAGAAACTCTCTTAAGCGTTAACGTGTTGAAAGGCAAACGAGAATAAAGTACTATAATACATAAAAAAAAACATATACACAATTTTCGAGGTGGAATTCTCTCTAGTACACTGACTGTCCGCTAGATTTCAGCACACATTATTTAATAAATACCGTACGTCGACAGTCCTTGTAATACTTAAAGATAGTAAATTTAAAAAAATGTATATATAAATATAGCAGTCGTCAGCAAATTGCAAGCTTCAAGGTCACAATAAGAACGTGAAACGTTAAAACACGAAAATCGAAGCCCAGGCGAGTGAAGACATGAACTAGAAGCAGTAGGCGCTGAAGTCCTTCAATGACCTTGAAGCACAAAGTTTCGTGACGGCTACTATACTCTGTGAAGTCAGTATGCTGCAAATCTCCTTTCATTCTAGCCAATCCAAGATCAGCAGTGCCACGCGAAAATCGGTGTTAGAAAACTCCAAGCACGTTTTACTACTAGTGTGGTCAGATAACGTAAACACAAAAACAAAGTTAATTATAATACAAACGTTCACAGATTTAATATTAAAAGTAGGGAAATAGTGCCGAAAATTTCCTTAAATTGTAGAGCAAAGTATAGAAAATGAGAAATATTAAATTATCTGCCAACATAGTAGGAGACGAAACGACTGAGAACAAATTGCTTATCGAAACGGCAGAAATAAGAAGTCTAGAAAAATTTACTGTGCGCTGTCACAGCACGTACACAGTTTGTTACGTGCAACAATCACACAGCAACGTCGCCATCACAACTTCCAGTTCACGTCGTTCTGTTGGATCCCTGAGAGGCGCACTGGCAGAAATCCCTTAGGGTCAGTCTAGCTCAAGGGTCAAGCCGCACTAACCGAGTACCAACACTCGCTAATCCAAGCCTCTGATTCCCAATTAATGTTTCACAAGTTCGTTGTGAACAGACCACAGAGCTGTGAACACAATACACGTACACATATTAGAGCCAGTAATTTCTGAAAGCGTTAACTGTGTCGTCAAGGTCTACGAAAGACAGGAGAACGTCGCGCTTGGTTAATTAAAAAAACAAGTACTCCTGACTTAAAATACTGAGTTGCCTCTATCATCGGATGAAAGAAAATTTTTTAATAAATTAGAATTGTAAATTATTTACGTAAAAGTATCAGTTATTAAAATCAGCGTAGTTTTAACTTGTTACAAATAAAATACGTTAAAGGCATAATAATTTTTTGTGTGTGTCAACGGTCCCAAAATATCATCACAAATCTTATTAAAACTCACGGGGTTGAATTACTAGATGAATCCAGTCAGAGTCTAAATTTACCAGCATTTTATAAAACACAGAGTTATCACGGCCAATAAATTCGATAAACTTACCAGACTTTATTCGTAGACTTGACTCTTGTCTGTATTGTGAGGGGATAACTTAACGTTTCTCTCAGGGTTAAATTATATTTTCGGTTGGAAACACTTTTATTATATATATGTTTTTATCTGCTAGCATTGTATATAATTTGTTCGGTTTGTGAGTAAAATTTTACCTTCCTATTTTAAAGAACATTGAATACCAACCTCCATACGATATCAATGCGCACGACGTTTCAGTGCGAAGCACGAAACACGTTTTCTGCCACCGAGTGATTTAGCTGTGGAATTTCACAACAGTGACTGTCATTTTAAAAGAAAATTATTAATAAATATGTACATGATATTCGTCGCTTCCGGTATACAATATTATAAGCGATACATTTTGTTATTGCTAAAGATACAAACGATCTAATTAGAGGAAATAAATTGGCCTGGTAACTTTGCTTTACAAAATATAATAATAATAATTCAATACAGAAGAGGCCCAACACATTTCTCTTCGTCAGATTACCATAACTGAAGACAAAGTCTCCATATGTACGGCCTGATTCAAGGCCAAGAGCAAAATTACATTAACGGAGCGATTACAGGATGTAATTTTGTTAGGTCTGATGTCGACCTACATCTAGAAGTCTGAACGTAACAACAAATCGTTTAAACAGAAAGTCACGTAGTCATGTCGTAAATATGTTTTTGTGAAGCTTTTAATTTAGCCTTAATATTGTACCACTTACACACAAAAAAGTATATGAAGCTCTTCAAAGTCTGATAGAAATATTTACACTGATTCTGGACATACGTTAACGGTTGAGTGCATTTTATGTTCAAAATACTTAATAAAACACATTTCATCTCAGTCGACGTTCATGTTGGTCATCTGCATACAAGGCTGACGTCGTTTGGACTTAAAAGTAAGTACTGACGTTTCGGAGGAATGACTGTCTCCATCTTCAGGACTGATGAAGGTAGAATTTTTATCGGAAACGTTTGAAGTAAAATTGTATGAAGTATTTTGATTATGCATTCGAAAGCAAAGGGGATAAGTGATGGAAATATTCTGCCAAAACAATTGGGTTCAGGTAACGCAAATCATGCAAAACCGTAATAAATGAGAGACGTATTTGTATCTTCCACTAATACCTGAAACGAATCTCGCCTTCCAAAAAAGGTTCAGTATTATAGCCACTATTAATCTCAAAAATACAAAACGTTGTGTGACAGACGAATTACTTAGAATGCGCACGTTTAACCCTCTGACGCCAAAAGAGAGATTTAGGAAGGGTAGAATGAGAGTAAGGCAAAGATAAATTTCGTGGGGAAGAACTGAGAGACATTTTATTTCTGGGTTGGGGCGAGAGGAGAAAAACATCTTAAAGTTATAAGGTTCACGGACAATGCCCGCTTATCCTTCTAGTGAGGGTTAAGTATGAATAAATATGTTAGGGTGATAACTAGTGACGAAATTTTGATTTGCTTGTTAGTGGATTTTTAAATTATGACTTGATGCCGAAGCTCATCTAAAATATATAAACCTTCAGTTCGTACGGCAAACAAAACACAGCTCATAACCATTACAAAGATCAGTGATTAATAATTTTTAAATAAATAATCACTGTTTACTCTAAGGACCAAATTACACCGATAAATATGCTCTATCGGAGAAATACGTAACTGATTATTAAATCGGGTGGTATGTAACAGTGACCACTTAGCTTTGAACGATTAACTTAATTCAGTGGAAACTCTAAATATCGTATAAAGCAAAAGCATTGCGTATATTTGTTATCGAGTATCGATTCTCGAAGCTCGTGGTTATCGACGTGACCATCAAGCTTCAGACATTTCGTCGAAACCCTCATTCGCCCAACCACGAAGCTAAACCATATTAATAATAATAATTCACGTCAGGACGTTTGTGCACTGGACTGTGTAATTCGAACACAAAAGTACGAAGGGACGACACTAAATATGAAGGCAAAGTTCTTAGTAGTTACTTCGTTTTTTTTTAAAGTTTCTGTTAAGTTTTAGGTGGTATTATCTTGGAAACACACACGAGAACTCACTCGATGTATATTACTTCCATCAAAAACTGTTAGCACCCCACTGATGTTCATCTAGCTGTAAAGAAATTTCCATAATCGCTGAGAAATAAACTTCTCTGTTTACTCTTCGAGCTATTGAAAATTTAAAGAATTTTACGAGATACCTTGAGATAATTCCTTCTCTTCTTCCTCATTTTTTCTCCTGAATTGTTTTTAATTCCTCGGTTTTTTACGTTCATATTCTAGTAATTATGTTTTTAACACTGACTTTATTCTTCCACTTTTCTTCATGTACTCAATATTTTTCTATTACGTTATCCTTTCCTCTTTAATTTCTCCCGCTTTATCTCTTTCTTCTATATCTTCATTTATGGCGGTAGGCAGTCATTCGACAGGCGGTGGCAGCCCGAACATGTCCTTAACCTGTCGACCATAAATCCGATGAATAAGAGTTCTGTTTCTGTAATCATTTTATTACATTATGAATAAATTAACCACGCCCACATTTAATCTACGAAGACTGGAAACAATAGCATATTGCTCACAATGATTTATTAGCCTGTCGATAAGGGCTCTGCTAAACGGGTGCCATATTTAACAAAAAAATTCCAGAAAGGTCTAAGAATGGAAATTTTATATTTTGGTGTGGTTATGCCCTAATGACTCGGTACCCAGAGCCTCGTTTGCGAGGGTAGGAAGTAAAAATTGTTTATGATACCGCGTTCAGCCCTCAGAAACTGATGGATGTCTAAATAATATTTAAAAATTCAGTCTTTATAGCAAAGAAAACATACACTTTAACAATACAAAGTGAATTGGTTGATACTGTTTAAGGATATGATCGTTGATTAATCAGAGGATCATATAAATCCCATAAATACAAAATTAGAAGCAAGTTATACCTCTGGGCTTAAAGACACTAACCCTTACATCGCAAATAACCGAGGGCAGCTCTTAAAGAGATTTTTTGACGATTGGGATCTGAAAAAGTCAATAAGTGGCGAACTTCTTAAGTGCTAGATAATTATGATGCCAAACGAGTTCAAGTAATTAAAACATAATTTTCACATATAGACGCATAATAATTCAATACTTTCATCTATTAAAGATCATACCTTCCCGATTATCGTATATCAAACCCGGGTACATTTTTATCCATCCAAGTCGATAAATTAACAGATTATCTTCAGTATAACAACAAGAAAAGTTAGTCGATTCATAAGTTTATATTAGTGCTGTATCAACTGAAGAATTTATTTAACTAAGTTGAGGGGGAAAGACACCTGAGGTAATTATTACTCAAGGAACGACTGAGAAAAATCACTACCATCGTTGAATTAAGTGTCATAGTCGAGATTCGAGGCAGGTAACTCGTGAATTAAAGTCAAATGCTTTAGAACCAAGACATCCTTGTCTGATTTAAAGTGCCTATAGTTCGAGCCATTTTACTGCCAGCGTCACTTCATGCATTATGATTGATTCTTCCGTCTATGATGACGGTAGAATAAATATTATGTCTGAAACAAAACACTTTTCTGGGCAGAAATGTCTCAGTTGCTGTCAAACATAGACACACGGCCAGAAGGTGAACGACAGAATTTGTGATCACTCAGCACTTCATAGAAACAGGTCAATTTATCTCCCAGGCTTATGAGGTTATTGTCTACCACATCTGGCACAGAACTGCTCTTTTAGGCTGTGATAATGCCAACCGCTGAAACAGGCATACCACAAGACCTACACAATATCCCTGTGACCTCGTTTGAAACCTGTGACAAAGTGAGTTCAGCTCCGAAATGACGAGCGACAAATCTGGTGCCTTCCAGTACAATTTATACAGCATACTGATTAATAAACAGTACACATAAGAACAGCAAGTTCCAAAAGTTTATTATGCATAATTTCCTTTACTTTTTTTTATCTATGTAAAACGAGCAGTATGACCTACAAATCAATAATTTCGCGTACAACGTAATTACACGGGCGAAATTTCAATCACTCTAATTATGGATGTAGGAAGAACCTCTAAAACATCGATAAACTTTATCAGACTACATAGCTCAAAAACCCATAAGATAGCCTTTTTCTTCAACTTAGAATATGTTTCTACCCATAATGTCCCTTGGTAGATTGTTAGACATTCTCAAAAAATTTCTCTCTGACGCCAAATAAAAAGAAACGAATATTGTATTTAGATTTCGTTTCGCTTGCAACAAAGTACATAGAACGTAAAATACACTTAGACATTAAATTGAAATCTTTTAAGTACATAGACACCATAAATTCTAAGCACTCTCTACGGCAGAGACATGATAATGTACACCAAAGGCTTTAACATTCAATAAATGTATTCTCTCTCCATTTCAGAACTTATATTTATAGCCACATATAATTCTTAGAATAAACAGCGATAATTTCCCTAAAGAGCATTAACCAAGCGGTATTTGTAGTGGAGACATTTTTTTCCCTTGAGCTAGAGGCAGAATTTTTAAATATTAATTGGACAAAATTTATGTCTGAGAGGGTTAAACATTTACAGATACGTAATAATGATGTCAGTAAACTGGGAATATACCGTCTCTTTTTTATCCAGTTCTCCACTAGCAATATGTTGGTCGCATTTTATGATTGCGACACTAGATATATCCTAAAAATTAAAATATTTTAAATATAAATCGAGGAATGTGACACTATTCTGGTACGTAACAACTGCAATGGTAAATGACAAGAACTTAGTGAACAAAATACTCAAAGGAATAAAATATGTAAAAAAAACAAAACAATACTCATAAAGATGCAGATGACTGCACAGTCTCTTTTATAGTTCAAATATAAAGAAAGTTGTTTCAAATTTATTTGGATATATGTCTCGCATGTTTCCTAAAAGAAACTTTTTATCATTCCGGATACTTCAGTGTAATATATATATGGACACATAATGCAGTAAACTGAGCAGTAAAAACGTAGTTATGGCAAGTTTCAGTCCCCAGAAAAAACGAAGACCCAGATGCTTAGAGTTTTATTGTCAAAAAAATGTGTAAAAGCTTTGCCATTTTTGAATTATTTGACAAGACCCAAGAAGAAAACGTTCAACTTTGTACAACAACAGACGTGGATTGCCGATGCACACAGACCTCGAATTTTAACAACAATAATTATTCTTGTTAGTACATGAGAAGAAAGAAATAAGACGTGAAAAAAATTGTAATTTTAGATAAAATATCGGAGGAAATAATAAGTGTTTCCATATTTTTGTTTTAGAATGTCTTTGAATGTATTAAGGGAAAAAAAACGGTCAAGGGAAGTTATTCGGAGGCTTGAGACCATAAATATTATCGGATTCCGGACCAATTAATTCTTCTGCAGCTGCCTGTAAAGCGTACAGACAGGTAGAAAAAATTTACAGTCATTTAAAGAGTCCCTGTGCACAACCGCATACACGAAAAACAAAGGGACAGTAGGTTTATTCTGTTGGAAAATATATTCACGTGAATTTCAACTGCAATAAAGCCGTTTCCGGGTTATGGTCAAAATACTATATGGTCTCTCCATCCATTCAGTGAGGTTGTGACAATATGACGCAGATCTGTCCCACACATAATCGATGTATCAATTTTATAATTTTGTCGCTGTGAACTACACGCAAGTCGCATTGTTTCATTAACCACTGTTTTTTAACCGAGCTCTACGCAAATATTCCTTCTCAATAATTCGACAGAAACGTGACTGATATTGACAAACCAGATAACACACATAATCGTAAAATCCCACCACGAAACCAACAGGTTTGGCGGCTTGCTACCTACAACACAAGATAACAAGTACAGTCCACAGATCAGGAGAAAATCCCTGCTAGGAATTCGATATACGCGCATGCGCAAGATTTCGCGGTGAGTGACGACCGATCCTAAAAGCATTCGTTCCACAACCACTGAACGAACAACAGACGACAGGCTTTCATGTGTTTTAATGGGTTCAGCTTTAAGATTACCTCACAGCGGCACAGCGATTTAATCTAGAATATTATCGCAACACCCACAGAACACATTAGAGGTGCACTCACTACACGCTACTCTTAACTGCTTGATGTTTTCAGTCTTGTAGTAGCCTTAAACTCTGACGTACAGGATCGTGTAATAAGGAACGACAGGTAGAAATGTGTTGAGGCATTGGTTCAGTTCACAGAATAGAAAGCGCTTCATCGCTCTGACACAACTGTCCTATGCGTTTGCTTCTGTTACAATGAATTCATAACAACCTTCCGATAGCTGAAATATAGTAATCTGATCTAATACTGACTTAGGAGAAATATGTGTCCGTTACTGTGGGAAACAAAACTGAACTGAGTAGTACAGCCTGTCTATAACAGAGGGAGTTTGTTGGCTGGTTTTTTTTAAAGTTCATTACTTAAAACAGTACTTGATAACTTGTAGTTTGCAGACTGCTGCCATTTGCAGGGGTGTTGGAATGAATCAACAGTAAAAATAACCATATATATACATTGTATATATGCTATTCTTAAAGCGAGTAACTCTGTTGCTTCAAAAACAGCTTACATTAACTGAAAAATTTACATAGTTATGTAACGGGAATAAAAACTCTAAATAGTTATTTCATAGAATACCTAGTTATCTTACGAAGAAATTATTAGTATATAAGCAGAATGTAAAACAATGAGATACTCACTAGGTATTTTATATAATAATTAAAGTTAGGTTAGATTTAGTTATAACAGGTAGAATACGTGAGGTTAGGTTAGGTTCGGTTAAGTCGCTTTAAGTTAATTTAATCTCATAATGTAAATATCATGCCTATCAGCGTGTTTTGGCTGAAATAAAAAAATAATTGACGGATATATATGAAATTTGACAAATAATTTTTACACAAAACATTATCAGAATAATTTAATTTACGTACTTAATGGTCCAATGCAACATAGACATCAAAAAAGTATGTACTTACTCTGAAACTTTATAAAACCGATAAATATACTTAACTGAGAAAAAACGTATAATTATTGGTTCTTAGAATAAGTGGTACAAAGAGCCCTCGCTATGTTAAAAAAAGATAATGTCATGAAATAGGCTGTACCGGTCTACGTATAAGGAGATGCTCCAGTAGTCTTCTCTTTATGGACGTGTAATATCCTTCACAGGCCGTATGTAGGCGTTCGATAAGTCCACAGCTAATACCAGCACAAATTCAAGCAAACTCGTACAGAAGCAAAGACGGGAAAAAGAGGAACACGACAAATGATAAAGAAAATCCCGTGGAAGTCGGTAGGTTCGCCCCCCTTGGGCACTCTGTGATAACGGAACAAAAAAACCCTGCGAATCGTTTTTCGATTCTACCGCGTTTTCCACTGGTCCAGTAAATCCAATTCTATGAGGTACTTAGTCTTTCTTCCTGATATCCACTCCTGA